GGTGAAGCATGAAGGCAGATGAATTGGCAGCAGTGTGTAGGATGGAGAAGAGCAAGGCTTGGAGGCAGGCAAATTGATTCGATATCTGTAAATAGAATCATATTCTTCACACTTGAGATTGAGAGCCCAACACCTGATCATCTCAGAGAAGTTTCATCTTCATTTCCAATTAAACTTTAATTCTACTTCAGCCTCAGGGGTCCATCACCATCCACCTTCAGTGCTTCTGTATAAAACTGTGGTAGAGCTAGGCTTTCTGTTCTGCCTGTCCTTTAGCAGAGTGAGAGCATGCTTACCAGACAGCCGATGACTACTTAACTGGTGTCTGGCAAAATCTCCATCTTGCGTCCTGAGGCTAATAAAAGCGAGGTGTGCCTGTGCTTTAGCTCCTGTGTGTCTAGGAGAGGGGCTGTGGCCCTGAGCTCCAGCACTTGCTTATTTGACCCTGTTTCACAGTCGTGAGATATTCCCAGACCCAAGAAACAGAGAAGAAATGTAACTCCCATACATCTCTCTGTGATGAACTGGCAAAAGATAGCTGACCTGTGCCCTGGGTTTTTTCTTTTCTTTTCTTTTCTTTTGTTTATTTCAGGGCAGAATGTAAATGTCAGAGAGAAAGAAAGGCATATTGACAGAACAAAAGGCCGCACCATTTTTATTAATATTTACATGGATAGGAGTTCATAGAAAAGAAATGAAACCCAAAGAAGTTTAGATGCAAGGATTTATATAATATTTTAAACAAAGAAAATGGATTTGAGCTTCAAGGGACCTTCAGCCAAGGAAAAGAGAGTAGGAATAGGTGTGGAATCTAGAGGAAGATAAGGGCTATTTTCGGAAGGCTTGGTTATGCAGATGGGTCTCCTGTGACAGGAGTCCTCCTCCGATGGGAGACGTCTTCACTAGGGATATTTATGCCATTTGTCCAGGAGGAATTATGTGCCCTGCTTTTAGGCAGGAAAGAGATGAGCAGAAAAGTATTCCTGCACTGGTCGATTCTCAGTTGCCTTCACCTCTAAACAATCCTTATAGCAAAGTAGCATACTTGGGGAGATATATCCTGATCTCCTTCAAAGCCAACATGTATGGAAGGACTTTGTAAGTATCAAGTTCTTATCTCCCTTCATTCTCACAGCAATCCTACTGGGTTGTATTGGTCTCAAGTTACAGATGAGAAAACCAAGGCTGACAGAAGTCAAATAATATGCTAAAGAAAATGAACTAATAAATGGCCAGCCCAACAGACAAACCCAGCTGGACCTGATTCTAAAGCCCATGCTCCTTGCTATACTTCACACTGCCACATTTCCCTTGAAAGGGAAATTGTGAATTTGAAGGTTGAGAGAAGGGGAGTGTACTATTGAATTCAAGGAGTGATAAATCATCCTTACTTCCTGTTAGACAAAGAAATATAAAACAGTGCTGCAGCTCAGCCCTTCCCTGCCCTCTAGTTATAAAAGCTGGCTGTTGCTGGAGAAATAAGGTTTTATTCCAGCATAGGGCTATCTGTTACAGAGAATCTTTGAACTACATCACTAAATCACAAGCACTGCTCATGCCTCAAGGCTCTAGACTGCCCTACACCCTTCCCTCAGTCCTCCAAACTCAGCTCAAATACCACCCCTCCTCTGCCTTTTCTCTTACTGCTTTTCGTGTGGAGCATCTCCTCGGTCTACCTGCAACATTTGGTAAGGGATTCAGGTATCCTCCATCATAAAAAAGAAGCAATCAGCACTAACCAGTCACACACCCATATAGAGTCCAGAGCCTTTGGCTAAAGATTTAACTTTGCACAGTGGTTTATGTCTATATAAACTGAGTAAATTTGTCATGGGTGAATGTGTGAGAGTCCTTTTCCTTATTGTCTCCTCTTCTTTCTCCCTCATCCTTTCTCCCCCTCATTCTTCTCATTGCCCACTCTCTGTTCTTTTTTCCAGGACCCTGGGTCCACCCTGGAAGCCAGAAGTGGCCCCATGATGTCCACGTTCTGGCCCTGCTGAAGGGTGGCAGCAGGCACTATATCTGTTCTCAGTAGGCCAAACTCTAGGATGAGGCCTGCACACCTAGAGACCTGTAGTTAACATGTGCTGCCAGCTGCCATGGAGGAAGTTGCTGAACTATTCCCTGAGAGGATGAGAATGAGCCAAAACCACAAACACCTGAGACTAGGCCTTTATTAGGGAATGGGGTACCGGGCTGTCTCTAACAATGGCGAGAGCAGTGGCCAGGGGCTGGCTAGGTGACCTCGTATATGGGCAAGGGGCATGGAGGCACATAGTGGAGGTAGATGTTTGGCTGCAGCCAGAAGTGAGGTTGAAATCCATTGGCAAGTTCGAACTTCTCGGTGGGAAGGACTATAAGCAGGAGAGCTTGGAGGTGGGAAATTTAGGTTATTATATCCCTGAGTGATTTATTATCTGCCAGGAAGAGGTATTTAAAAGGTGGGGCTGCCAGAGCCATTTTATCTAGCAGAGAACTCTATCATTCTCTACATTGGAAATTATGCTAGATTTCTAAGGGGTTTTCATTCTTGGCTTCTTGGTATATTTGTTTGTTTACAGTAGTTCTAAGTTCTTCAGACAACAATGACATGTTTCTGCAGTGAGCATGTATAGTTTTGCTTGTCCAGTGTTATCCACTCTCCCTTCATCTTGTAATAGCGTTCATGTTTTCCTCCAAGGAGCTCATCTATCTTGGTCCATTTTCTACTGCTATAACAAAATACCACAGCCTTGATAATATAAAGAAAAGAAATTCATTCTCACATCTCTGGAAAGTGGGAAGTCCAAAATCAAGGTGCTGGTATCTGGTGAGGGCCACCTCACTGGATCATAACATGGCGGAGGATATCATATGGCAGGAGAGCTCGGGAGAGAGGTGGCTTTTGCGAACAAAGCCACTCCTGCCATAACTAACCCAACCCTAGAAAATGGCATGAATCCAATTCCGGAGGGTAGAGCCTCTGTGACCTAATCACCTCTTAAAGCTCCTACCTCCTGTATTATGATGAAATTTGAATGTCATGAGCTTCAAAGGGGACTTCCAAACCACAGCTCCATTTGGCTTCTCTCACATTCTCCATTTGATGGGCTTGGTTTTTTTTGGTCTTTCTTTGGGCTTGTTTTTTACTTATACTTTGTAAATTTTATTTTTATTACTACACAAGCTCAGTACATAATGATTACATTCATGGTGGACAGTAGGTATATGTACATAACACATTTTTGTTCTTTTTTTTAACCACCTTCCCCTTGCCTTCATCCTTTTCCTCTCCTTTGAGGGAATGTGACTTAACTTGTGACCTAAGCCAGAGCAATAAGAATATTGCATCTCCCTGGCCACCACCAGGCACCCACATGTGACCCAGTCCAAGTGAATTATTGCTAAAGCTCTACTGTTCTCTTCTAGAAGTTTCGGTGCTTGTTGCCTAGAGGAATCTGTGGCCATTGTGCCAATCTGTATAAAGGAACTGATTGAGCACAAAGTGAAAAGAAAGGAAACAACAAGGAGAGGCGTTCTCTTTGGCTTAGAACCTGGGGCCAACCATGCGTGAAGCCAGATATTCCCTAACCTTTTCAGCTTTGAGAGATAATAAATTTCCTGTTATTTAAGCTAGTTGGAGTTAGGTTCTTAGGATCTAAAGAAAAAGTCCTTAACTATATAGTTACTATGCTAACATGGTTCTTGTTTCCTTACCCAGAAGAAATAAGAAAGGGAAGAGATGAGGGCCTGATAAGGGAGAAGAACACTGTCTTATCTCAGTTTTATTGTGGTAACTAATCTACATCACTATCAGAATGTGAGCACCTTAAAATTAGGTATTCTGCAAATCTAACTAAAACATACTATAGTTAAATCTCAAAAAGTGCTCATTAATTAAATACATTTGCTTTATTTGTAGGTTTAAGCTCTGGAGTCAACTGCATCTGTGTTTGAATCTTGAACATTACTTACTACCCATGTGCTTTAGACTAAGTTACTACACTTTTCTGATTTTGACTTGTGTGTCAGACAAGCATGGTAATAGTGCTTGCTTCACATTTTGCTGGAAGGATGAACTTCTCAATCTGTGCAGACTACTGTAACAGAATAGCACAGACTGGGCAGCTTACAAACAGCAGAAACTCGTTCTGATGGCTCTAAAGACTGCAAAGTCTAAGTTCAAGTGACTGGTAGACTCCATGTTTATTGAATCCCACTTCTGCTTCACAGAGATCTTCCTTTCCCTGCATCCTCATGGGACAGAGGGGCTCTCTGAGGTTTCTTCCATAAGGGTTCTACTCCTGTTCATGAGGACTCCACCTTCTTGACCTAACTGCCCCCCAAAGTCCCCACCTCCAAATGCCATTACACAGAGGACTAGGTTTCAACATATGAGGACTCAAAATTTAGTCTACAGCAAAGAAAGAAGACCATGTTTGGTGCTTATCACACAGTGAATATACAATGATATGCAAAAACTGTTGCAACCACAGAAAAAATGACTAAGACCTTGATTTTCTCATATGGAAATTTCTGTATGATGCTACCTGCTATAATGGCAATTTAATTTATATTGGTTTAATATATAATTATTTATGTATAGCTATGTGATCTTAGGGAAGTTATTTGACCTCTCTAAGCTCAATTTTCTTTCTTTAAGCATGAGTCTAATACCATGCATGTTGTTCTTAAGGTGAAGTAATATAGGATCTATTAAATCAGGGCCAGGGATTTAGCTCAGTGGTTTCCCCATCTGTTGCACAAGCACAAGGACCCGAGTTCGATCCCCGGTACCAAAAAAAAAAAAATGCCTAGCTGGGATATAGTAGTTGGATTAGATCTCTAAACTGGCCCTCAACAAACTCCACCCTTCAGCATTCCTGTGCTTGTTTCTTACCCTTTGAGTGTAAGATGGACTTAATAACTCGGTTCTAACATGTAAAAGTCTTGTTACTTTGATATTAGGTCATAAAAAGACTATGACCTCCTTCTTAGGTGCTTTTTCTAACTATCCCCTCAGCTCATGCTAGAGGAAGCCAGCTGCCATGTCAGGAGGCAGCCCTGGGAGTGGCCTTGGAAGTGGAAGTTCTGAGGCTGCCACAGCCAAGTTAGGTGGAAGTTGAGCCCTGAGATGGGCTGTAAGGTGACATCTTGATTGGATCTTGATGGGACTCTGAACTGGAACCACTCAGGTAAGATGCTTATAGATTCCTGACCCTCAGAAACTGTGAGACAACAAATGCTTATTGTTTTAAGCTGTGACATTTTGGTGTAATCAGTTATGCATACACAGAAAACTAACATAATAGTTATGCAATAAATGGTAACTACCAAAAAGATTAGGCTAGTATTCTCAAGTTCTTTCTCTAGCCCTTTCTTCCTCATCCTCTACTGTTTCTTGGTGATGTTCTCCACTTGATCTTAGGGAAAAGGCCAAGCAGCAATTCTTAATGGTGTTCTCATGCTATCACTAAAGTACTCAAAATCTTCCAGTAATGATTAGTAATGATAACTATCCTTAACTTGGGAGTATTCTAATATGTCAGGCTCTGTTTTAAAAACTTTATACATATGATCTCATTTAATTCTCACAACCTTGCAAGGTAGGTACTATTGTACTCTGACTTTGCTGATGAAGAAACTGAGGCTCCCAAATGATAAGTGATTTAAGAAAGGAGAGCTGTGATCCAGCAGAGCCAGGACTTCGCAGACATGGCTGTCTGAATCCCCAACCTGTGCTCTTAACTGCTATGCTGGAGTAGCCATGGCACCTGCAAGTGAAGTCTAGTTCCTATAAAGCCCATCGGGACAGGCCTATCATTTCTGCCTACCTTGTTTTTTGCATCTTCCTTCACAAATGCTACATTTAGTCCAATAGAATTGGTCTTTATTCTTTGTTGTGCTTTGCTCAGTCTCACCTTCTTCTGATCTTTCTTAGAGAACAAAGTTTCGTTGGCTGGGGCCTCCACCAGTCCCTACATTTTCCACAGCTTAGGGGCCCTCTTGTACATCAGCTCTTTCACAAAGCTTTTCTGGTCCCCTACCCCAGTGCCTGCCATAAGGAGTCATCTTTTCTTCCTCTGCATTTCACACAAAGTATTTATACCTTTCTTATGTCATCTGGACTTTTCACATTACATCGCATCAATTTTACCATGATTGATCTCCTCGAATGCTTACTTTGTAGATTTGAAAAGTTAATGTTCCATTCATCTTTGCAACTTTATTATATGCTAGGGCACAATGACCTATAATAATAGGTGCCCAGTAAATACTGGCTGAGGAAATGATGCTGTGAGAAAGAGTATGGGTGAACAAATAGATAATCATGAAAGTAATGAAATTTGTTTATATTTTACTCTTGGACGAAGGCATTTTCAGATGTCTTCAGTATGTTCCCATTAAGTCATCTTTCAAGGCTTTAACATTCATTTGTGAATTCATGAACAAACTACCTCAAAGAAAATTCCAAATCATCAAAAAGGAGCATTTCTATCCTCTTAGCAGTCAGTATGATCACAGTGATACTGTTAAGGCATTTCATTATTTATTCATTTAACAAAAAATGTGATTATCACCTGAAAAGGGTGATATGGAAGGGGACAAAAGAAGTATAAAATGTGATTCCTGTCTCTCCAATCTGCCTATGAAAACAACAAATCGTTAAAAATTTAATAAAGATAGGATGTCTGAGGACACATCTCCATGGAAGCAGGGGTCCCAGGCAAGAGATATTGACCAAAACATCTCAAGCGAATGTACAGACAAGGAATTAAAATCCATTATGGTGTGAAGGTTTCCTGTTACTAGTGTATAGGTATTATCACTGGACTCAGTATTCATTTACAATCTTCTGGATTTGACAACAGCCTTCTCTAGCCAGGTGCGAGATCAAGAATTAAAATGTCAGTGGAACTATTTTTATATTTACATCAAATTAATACCTGTGGTTCTGTATTTTCCTTGCCAACCTGTCAAGGTAAACCTGAGAAACCATTCAAAAACTCTTCATCTTTAACAATGCAGATGTCATCAGTTCCTGAGCACAGGGCATGCAGGTGAAGGACTTATCATCACTCCTGTTTTATAATGAGAAAATCTTGGCACAGAAATGTTAAGTCAGTCACCCAATTAAATCCTGGCTTCACCACTCCTGTAGAAGTGCTCCTATAGAAAAGCTCCTATAGAACACCAGCAATTCAGCCCTTAGACCTATCCAAGGGATTCCCATCCTGTTACCAAGCTTTAAAAGACCTCACTCTGGTCTCCCTCTGGCTGCAACTCTCCCATGGAAAGCAGAGTCCCTGGGCCGAGAAGCCATGAGCACCTGAATCCTGTGCCAGGTACCTAACCTGTATCGTCTCTCCACATGGTCTCGAGCCTGCTACCAGGGCCCACACAGGTTCTCTCCCAAGGTGGTCTGCCAGGGTGGTACTGCTTCCCAGATGTGCATTCCTGGACCCAAGAGGGGGCCCAGGGTGAGCAGGAGAGTGGGTGGAGCCTGGATGAGTGGGCTACAGTGACCTCATGGTGTAGGTAAGGACCAGAAATGGACAGAAGGAGGGCAGCCACAGGTTGGGGCCTGGCTCTCCCAGGCAGATAGGCCTGACACACATTGCCATGGAGTCTGAGAATTCTTATAAAGGTCTATTTGTTAAGGTGAGGGGATAGAACATATTTTATTTAACAGCTTGTGGCTTATTCAGAACTTTCCATGTTGAATAGGGTGGGCCTCCCTCCATCTGTACCTTGAGCAAGGCCTCCAAGTGGCAAGGTGGGACCGGCTCCATGAGACTCTGCCCCTCTGTAGCAGCTGACACTAGGAAGGGTGGTATCAGGTCCTGCCGTGAGCACTTTACACACAGTCTCACTTTGTTTTATCAACAGCACAGTGAGATGGAAATCTCCATGCTCCACGGGACAGTTTTGATCGGCAACTGTGCCATGGTGAAATCTTACCCCACAGGACATCTGCGTTATAAAAAAAAAGGTAACTCTCTCTCTGTGACTATAAAAAATCCTTTTAAAATACCAAGTAAGGAGAATTGTAGCCATACTGATATGATTTTCAGACCATCCCACTGCATTATTTTCTTATCCTGCCAAAATGAGAAGCAATCAGGGTAACTTTTAGGCTATTCTGATAGAAGGTACCAAGCCCACTTGGACCACTGGCCATGAGAAGGATAGCACAAAGTCAAATCTCTTGTAGATGCTGCTCTGGGGCCCTGTTCCTTAATACTGCAGTGAATCACAATGTGTTTTCAATAGAAGTTATTTCCAAAATGGTCTCATTTCAGCTTCATGCAGTCCTGGTGATCAGAAAGTTCAGAGACTCCTTGCTCATGTTACAGAAAAGAAAATGGACTCCAAAAATACACCGAAGTCTTGCCTAGGAAAGTTGACTTTATTACTGAGAAGCCCAAGCCTGTTGCAGGTGGGCCTCTGGTTCCCACGTGTACCACCTGCTACACTTTGGATCTGGAGAGTGGCCTAAGGCCTGGGTATTCAATGCTTGACCCTTGGCCTGTGGCACTATGGGAAGTGGTGGGCCCTTCAAGAAGTAGGGCTTTCTGGGAGGTCTTTGGGCACTAAGAGTTTGGTAAAAGGGTATATGGGGACCCTGGCCTTTTCCTTTTCTTCTACTTTTTTATTTTTTCCACTTCCAGCCATGAGGTAAGTAGCTTTGCTTTACCACGCACTCCAGACATGAAATGCTCCTCTGTCACAGGCCCAAAGCAACAAGGCCATGTACCATGGACTAAAACCTCTGAAATCATGAGCCTAAAGACACTTTTTCTCTTCATAAGTTGATTATCTCTGGTATTTGTTATAATAGTAACAGAAAGTAACATACTACTCTCATCTTACAAAAACAAAAACCCTGACCTACTACCAGCATTAGGTGATAGATACTGATTTTTCCTATTAAGAGGCCTTAACTTTCTTTTAATACACTGAATTAAAATGCTGTATTCTTTTCCTCAGGCATATATCAAAAAGGTAGGTGCTAGTATCCAAAACTATCTCTTTATCAGTGCTGAAGGAGAGTGTTACCAGGGGAATGGGGAACACAATCAGAGTACAAATCTCGGCCTTCCCCTCCAAGGATGCTGATCAGCTATTGAGAGGCAATGGGCCATGTAGTGCTTTTGCATGGAAGGCTGAAACGACCACACAGTTATTAGCTCCATTGTTCTCTTCTGCCCAGAACTGTCATGAGGCGTAATAATCTCGTATAATGAGCAAGATATTTGCCCTACAAGTGGCTCTCCAATTTCTCTCCAGTGCCCCAGGCATGGTTTTTATGGAGATGGAGTGAGTGAGACTCACCAGAATTCGACACTCATGATGTTCTAGCTCTCATATAATTGGTTGTTTTCTTAGTGATAAAGCCATAAAAAGAGTGAGAGTACAGGGGTGGCTTTTGCCATTATCAATAACCACTTGCAAAGACTGTTTTGCTTCATCCTCTTATTAAAAATAGTAAGTGGAGGAGGAGAGGTTGGGGAAGGAGGATAGGCAAGGAAAATCCTGCCTTCTTCTCCCTTAAGCTTGAATCTGAGAATTTGCCTCAGGCTTTCTCTTTCCAAATGAACAAAAAAAATCTTTTTTTAAACTAATTTTATCGGTACATTTTAGGTATGCAATATAATGACATTCATCATTGGAAATTTGCCCCTTTACATAATCTCTCTTGGTTCTTATTTTTCCCCTTCCCCTGCCCTCCCTTCAACCCCTCCATCCCTCCCTGTTTGCAAAGACTTTGTTTCTATTTTTAAATTTTCTCATATTAATTCCATTCCTTTCTTTCCTTTCCCCTACTCCTCCTACTTCCCCTTCCCCTTTGCCCCTTTTATTCCTATTTCACATTATCTATTATGCCTTTTAGTCCTTATTTACACTTTCAGTTTCTCACACTAGAGAAACTATTTGGTATTTATACGTGTGTGTCCTACTTATTTCACTTAAGAGTATTGCCTCAATGTGCATCCATTTAGCTATAAATGTCTCTAATTTCTCATTTTTATGGCCGAGTAATACTCCATTTTTATAAAAAACCATATTTTCTTTATCCAGTCTCCAGTTGATGGGCAATTGGGCTGCTTCCAAGTTTTAGCTATTACAAACTGTGCTGCTATGAACATGGGCGCACATATATCACTGTGGTATGATTCTTTTAATTCTTTGGGGAAGATACCCAGCAGGAGAGTATCTGGATCAAGTGGGACTTCCAGTCCTAGTTCTTCGAGGTATCTCAGTACTGATTTCCACAGTGGTTGCACCAGTCTACATTCCCACCAGCAGTGGGGCAGGGTTCCTCTTTCCCCACAGCCCTGCCAGCGTTTGTTATTGGTTGATTTCTTGATAGCAGCCACTCTTTCTGGGGTGAGGTGGAATCTCAGTGTTGTTTTCATTTGCATCTCTCTAATGACCAGTGATGTTGAACATTTTTTCATATGTTTATTTGCTATTTCTACTTCTTTGTGTGAGAAATGTCTGTTCATTTCAGATGCCCATTTTTGGATTGGGTCTTTAAATTTGGTAGGTCTGATTTTTTAAAGTTCTTTATATATTCTAGATAGTAAACCTTTGTCTGAGGAACAGCAGATGAAAAATTTTTCCCACATTATAGATTGTCTTTTCACACTGTTGGTGGTTTCTCTTGCTGTGCAGAAGCTTTTTAATAAGAAGAGATCCCACTTGTTGATTGTTTGTGCTGGTTCATGGGCAACTGAGGTTTTGTTCATAAATTTTTTTCCTACACCAATATCTTCAAGAGTTCTACCTAACCTCTGTTCCAGCCATTAACAAAAAAATCTTAAGAGGGAAATACTGTGCTCACTTCAGCAGCACATATATTAAGAGGGACATACAAAGACAATCCAATGATTCTAGTCAAAAAATTTCAATCTGAAGACAGTGTAGAGGGGCATCAGATTAGATTATAATGGGAGAAAAAACATTTGCTGGGGACATGTAGTTTCTTGTCACCAGATTAGCTAGGGCTTCACCCAAGATTATCAAGACTATGTCTACCTGATCCTTACCTGATCCCATTGTAGTCTGCATTTGAAACTTTAAGCTCACTATATTGCTGGTTTAGTAAAATCCAATTCCAGCAAACAAGAGCTACTACCAAAAGTGGAAGGTGCTGAGACCAGAGAAAGAGGCAGACAAAACCAGAATTGCACCAACTGTAACTTATTAGAGCCTTAGAGCCTTACAGGAAGAAGTATGCCTTGGGCAGATCCCCATACCCCAAGACAGGAGAAAGGTGTCTATATAGTGAGCTAGATAAAGCTTGGCTGCAGCCAACCAGAATGTATCCGGGCTTTTTCAAAAACTATTAAGATGCTGAAGGTATGTTAAATGCATGTACCAAGTCCCAAAAATGAACCCCACCATCCTGTAATATCAAAACAAACTAATGCAATCACAAGGACCTGAGTTCAGTCCCCCGGTACCAAAAAAAAAAAACAAAAAAAAAACTAATGAGAGAGAGATAGAATGCATGACACAGAAATTTTCCACTGACCATTTTAATGTTTATTATTGGGAACTAGGCTACCTAAATCAGATCTCACAGTCATTCTCGAGGTCAGTGCCTCAGAAACAGGGAAGTATGTGGAAGGCTGCATGCCCCCTAGCTATGGGCAGAGTGACAACAACCTGGACGCAAGACAGCATCTGCTGAGAACAGTTGTCAATATACAGGCATTTGGGTACAGAGAAAATCTGGTCCCTCATTAACTTAATCCTAATCCACCATTTTCTATCGTTGCTGTTCCATGAAACACACACTACCCCCTCCCCTGCTCTTCTCACTGGCTAACAAAAGTGGGCCAACCGTAGAGTTTTATTCAAGTTTGTCCACTAGAGGAAGGTCTCCTCCTGGTCCCCCCATTATATCTTGAATATTGTCTCTGTCTCTTTCTTTTTATTCCTCATTGTTCCCCCAACAATAGGTAGCTGAGGGTCTGATCAGCCTTCAGTAGTTTATCCTATAGAACTTGGACTCTACCATAGTCACCTGGAGAGCAAACTAGCAGTTACACTAAGTTGGCTGTAGTCAGGTCAAACTGGATCCCTACAGCTGCATATCACTTTACAGAAGGTTCTGTAGGAAACAGAGCTCAGTAGGAAAGATTTGTGTGCAGGTTTATTGAGGTAATTCTCAGAAATACCTGTAAAGGCCAGGGATTTAGCTCAGTGGTTCTGCCGGCTGCCTAGAAAGCACAATGTCCCGAGTTTGATCCCCCGTACCAAAAAAGAAAAGAAATACCTGTAAGACAATGCAAGAATCAGATTTGACAGAACAGAAGCTGAATTGTCATGGAGTGGCTTTAGAAGGCAGAGGGAGCTCCAGAGCTGAGATGGTCCTTTAGTTTTCCTACTGAAGGGGGATCCAACTTCTGTGGTACCATATAGATCAGTCACTGGATGTGGGCTGCCCCCAGTGGTGAAGACATAACTGTGGGGCCAGTCATTTCCTTGCTGCCAAGAGCAATTCCCAGAGAAGGATGTAGGTACAAGCCAGAAATTAGGGAGAATAAGCACCCCGGTCCTGCGATGAATCTTGGTAGCCTACCACATTACTCAGTAGAGTGAGATACTTCTTCCTCCTCAGAATAATGAAAAGTTGATGAAGGCAAGCAGAGTAAGAGAGAGGGAGGGATCATGGCCCCAGTGTCTCCTTAAAGGACATGTAAGGTATGTTTATTCCCCATTGGGGTCCCTAGTGTCCACAAAAGTACCTAGTACATGACAGCTATTTCCCATTGTTCCTTAAGACTGAATTAATGATACTTGTTATATATTTTATTGTTTTATACAAGTAGGAGAAAATATTCATGTAAAACACTTTCCCAAAGTATTTAAACAAATACCTCCCAACATCTAAGGACATTCTCCTATGTAACTATATTAAAATGATCAGACTTAAGAAATTTGCATTGATAGAATTCTGCTGTCTAACATATAGTCTGGACTCAAAGTTTTCCACTAATCTTTTTATCTTTCTTTTAATGACAAAATTCAGTCTAGAATCACATTGCATTTAGTCATCATATTACTTTAGAATCTTTTAACTTGGAAAGTTCCACAGTCTCTCTTTGTGTTATGGTTTGTGTTTAGATGTCCCCCCCACCCACCCAAAGCCTCATGCGGATGAAGTAGGACTTTCTTTTTCAGAGGTAGTTGAAACTAGAATGTTGGATGCTGGGGTTAAGGGCGTGTGATTACTAAACCACTCCATGTGAGTCATTAGTTTGGCCACCCTAATCCCTGTAGTCTGAATAAGATAAAAGAGGTGGAAAGATGCTGATAAACTCTCTCTTGTTACCTTGGCTACTTTGTGTGCACCTTGTTGTTTCTCCTCTGGGATGCCTATCTGGCAACCACCCTTCTTTGGAGATAGCCGATTATGGACTGAAACCTCTTCAAACTGTAAGCCAAATAAATCCCTTCCCCTCTAACTT